GTTGAAGGCCATAGAAGAAAAAAAAATAGGAAATTTCAATTAAAAAGTCCATTATCCCAATTTTAAAAACAATTTCAAAACTTTGTTTCAGGAAAAACACTAACATTACATTCATTCTTTCATTTTTAGACCTTTTAGTGTTAGTTTAAAATTATTTCTAATTCAAAGGTTTTTTTCCTCCGTGCCAATTCTCTCGTTTGAGGGGTTTGCTAAAGAATAACAATCACAAATGTACTTTTCAGCCTATTGTAAACTGTTATTCTAGCTCACCCTTTGTCTCCAACTATGAAGAATTTGAGTAATCAATAAGAATTAAACATGTAATTTAGACAATTTAGCTGTTCACTCTTAATATGCTGCTCACAACTGTTAATCTTTGTTAATAACGTTTATTTATTTTTGAGACAGAGAGAGACAGAGCATGAACCGGGGAGGGTCAGAGAGAGAGGGAGACACAGAATCAGAAGCAGGCTCCAGGCTCTGAGCCATCAGCCCAGAGCCCGACACGGGGCTCGAACTCGCGGACCGCGATATCGTGATCTGAGCCGAAGTCGGACGCTCAACCGACTGAGCCACCCAGGCGCTCCATCAATCTTTGAAACAAATTTTTTCTGGACTTAGTCGACAGAACCTTATCTGTGTTCTTTTCTGTTTCAGTGTCAGTAAGAATCTGTCTTGTTTTAACTAGTTTTATAATATCATCATTGCTACTAATAACACTGATTTTTTTAAATATAGGAAACTATAATAAAGATCATCCATAACCCCATGACCTTGAGAATACCACTGTTAACAGGTTAATATGTATTTTTACTTTTCTCTGATTGACTTGTAAGCTTCATGGGGTTTATGTAATTAACTATTTAACTTGTTTTGGCATAAAGAATAAGTAAATTCAGAGAGTGAATAAATTGATGAAATTTGCTAAAAGCATTCACAGATGGGTTAAAAAATCAAAACTAGGGGCACCTGGGTGGCGCAGTCGGTTAAGCGTCCGACTTCAGCCAGGTCACGATCTCGCGGTCCGTGAGTTCGAGCCCCGCGTCGGGCTCTGGGCTGATGGCTCAGAGCCTGGAGCCTGTTTCTGATTCTGTGTCTCCCTCTCTCTCTGCCCCTCCCCCGTTCATGCTCTGTCTCTCTCTGTCCCAAAAATAAATAAATTAAAAAAAAAAAAAAATCAAAACTAAATGGAATGGAAATGACACTTTTATTTCTAACAACTGCATTCTCTCAGAATGTTTACAAAAATACCTTAAGTTTGGAAAAAGATGCCAAGCATAATAATAATCATCGTAAGAATAGGATTATGGAAAAAAAAAATACAAAGACAACTGAAAATATACATGCCTCTACTTCACTTCTCAATTAGGTATGTACTCACCAGGCACATCTGATTAAACAATGAAGTCCCTGTTTGGAAAGCAAAGCTAGTTGTTTCTCATTAAGAAGCTGTCTACAACTGTTATGATACATTTAAAATATTTCTAGTTTACATGGATGTCAATTTTTAAAATTCTGTACAGCAAAGACAGAAAACACCTATATCTGCAAGCATGTTTCCATTTATATAAACTCAGTCTAAAAGACTGTCCCTATCTCTAAGGCTGAGACCAGAAACACCCCTTCTCATCACCACTACTGGACATTTCCCTAACATTTCCTCTTGGTAACTACTTAAGACATCAGCATGGCCTAGAACACTGACAATTATCTCCAATTCTCAATGTGTAAAAAACTGCAAAGGATCTCTAAGTGGTGACCAAGGAAAAGCAGTAAATGGAGTAGAGAGGGAAAAGCGGTAAAAGAAAGAGTACACTAAATCCACCTGCTAGTCTCTATCATTTTATCCACTACCCCCTCAAACCCCAAGCCTGCTCATCCCCATCAAGAAGCATCAGGTAGATAAATGGATTGGGAAGGATGGAGAGAAATCTTTTTCTACCACAGCAGGAAAATCTTACCTTCATTGTTATTCCTGCTTCATTTTCAATTCGAGTATCAGATATAAGGGAAGTGAAAACTACATTATCCAACCCTATGCTTGTTATCCAGTGCTCACTCCTGTCCTTACTGTGAGTGTTTTGCCTCCTTCTTCATTCTACCCCCACTTATTTTCTTCCCTGACATCTCTCCCCCTAAAGCCCCATACATCATGTAGTTCCAACTCAGCTAATCATACCCATCCCATGGATTACTCCATTATCATCAGTTTACATCTTTTTTACCTAACACAAATTCTAGGGCTACTTCCTGCCTTCCATTTTCTCTCCCATTCCACCAACATCTGGGGTCACCATTAGGTGTGCAACTGGGAAGAAAAAACTATTATTCCTATAAAATATGTACAGTACTAATGATGAACTATCCAAACTTCAAGCAAGTTGTTTTAATAGTTTTGGGATTTGGCACACTCAAGTGTAAAAGGAAGGAACGAGTTTAAATCACCACTCCAAAATCTGGCTGACAAATTTCCAGGCCTCAGTGATAAGGACTGTGAAACTATATATCCAAGATGAAGACAGGAATTTTCCAAAAGGCACCCCCGATGAATCTACTGATCAGTCATATTTGGGAATCCATGATAAATGCTAAGGTGTCTTCTAGTCTAACATTCCAATATTCTAAGCTGGAATTATCACTCCATTTTCTGATAGGAATATTGTTATAAAAGGAGTATAGCTTCCATAGTTATTGGTATTACAGTTACTGATTAAATAAGCCTTTGTAACCTAACCTAGCACCTAAGCGCTATTTATTATTTCATTACCACAGGTGACTTGCAGATGAACTTGCAAAATATGTTTACAGACTGTGGACCACCAGTGTTGTAACAATACTAAAACCTCAAAGGCAAACACTAAAAATTATTTCCTTGGGATTATGTGCATAATTAGATTTTCCCACAGATGGCGTTTTCACAGATTTTTGTTCAATCACAACTAAGATTTGACCTACATGTCAGAAATTAAAGAAGAAAGGGCATGCTCGTTAGGATCTTTTACTTTGCTAGTTCACTGATGGGCCTTTGTGTATCAATGGAATAAAGCCTAGAGAATTCTGGATCACTGATGGAATTCAGGGCATTAAAATGCTAAAAGAACAGTATCACTCAAATATCTACAGCCCATCAGGGCTTCACCTGCCCAGAAGCACACTAGATCATTCATTTATGAACTACATGTATCTATTCTAGCTCTGGTAACTTCCAACTACCAATTCTCATTATGAACAAATATTCCCTTGGTTAATATTCATGTTTAGACATGTTTCAACATGTGGGAACTAATCAAGTATAAACAGCACTTAAAGACATGATGACAAACTAGTAGTGCATTGATTTAAGTGAAACCTATTCATTTATGAATAAATGAATATTATAGAAAGGTAAAAATGGAAACAATTATATGCTAGTCATTTTTTTCTTTAAAAAGACGTATTTGCTTAAGGTCATACAAAATAGCATGATAAAAGTGTGTCCATTTATTTCATTTCTCCAGTGGATTTTTCCAATCTACAGTGAATGCCATTATGTAAGTGCATTCTCTGAAAATGAAGAATGATGCAATGGTTGCCATGACAACTACTCATTTTATTGAATAAATTGTGGGTTGGGGGTTAAAACATTCTTTTAAAAAACAAAGTTCAACATCTTAACTATGATAAATCTCTTTCTATTGCTAGCTACTGAACAGTAACTATAGGCCATCTTTGAGGATGACTATTCAAGCAGTTATTTTAAAAGCTAGGCTTGAGTTGCCAAGGGAGGAAAACTTTGAATTTAAAGTTTGAAAAATGAAACACATTAACTACATCCAAAGGTACAAAAGACACTTTTTAACCTTCTCGAGTAACTGAAAAGTGTTTGTAAATCAAAGTAACATGATGTTACATGCCAGTTCCTTCGCTGTCATAATTTTGCGTCTAATCCTAAATTTAAAGAAGTATAAAACACCAGAAGACTGCAGGTTTTCCAGTTTGCAATTCAGCTAAAGTGAGGGCAAGTAGCTTATCCCTCCTTTTGATACTCAGAAGAAATTTCTCCTGAGCGTGTGAAAAACCAGAATTTTCAATGCTGATCTTATAAAACAGCTCTGTAAAAAAGCCTGTATCTAAAAACACCAAGGCTAACCGTACACTCCAACTATAAACACCCCTCAGGCAGAAGCAAGAGCTATTAAAGGCTTCTTCTGCTTAAGATCTTCCATAGGGCTAGGTCCCCAGCGATGGCCAGCTTCACTGGCATCTGTGTCCTTAGGAGGCTTGGCGGTTACATAGACTATTCAAAGCCAAATAGTATTTTGAGAACCTGTCCCAGATCTCTTCCTACCTCACCGAAAAAAAACACTAAGATCAAGCTTTTGAAGAATGGCGGGAGCGGGGGGCGGGGGTTGAAGGGGATGGATGGCGCCCCTCCCCCTTCTAACAAGGCGAAGTCCAGTCAGCTAGAAAGGCCTGCTGACTTCGCAGCCCTGGAAACCAATGCGAGGAAGCTCCCTCACCGCCTGGCTAAACCCACAGGAGAGGGGTCTTTGAGGGCAGCAAATCGAACGGGCTGGTTAAGCGCGAGGGTGCGAGTGGCAACTCAGGCTTCTTTCAATCTGTCTTCACAAACAGATTTTACCTGCCTTCGTGTTTTACCTTCACCTCTCTCGTGCCTAGCGGCCACCTCTCCTGGGGGTATGCGCGTCTCTGTGTGTAATGACAACAACCTCAGCACCCCGACTGGGGGCAAGGGATTGGAAGGGGTGGGGATTCAGTTCCTGCACAGCCCTGGAACTCTCCTGAAGGGCCCTAAAAGAAAAAGGGGCGGGAGGAGCGCTCCAGACGCCACTGAAGACTCGACCGAGAAGGGGGCGTCGGGCCTGGGAGAGCTGCACTGGCAGGGGCTGACGTGCGGCTCCTTCAGGTTGTAATGGTGGCCCCTTGGAGGAGGGGATAGGTGACAAGGGGCTGGGGGCGATGAGGCCTCCCCTCCCCCCTCGCTCAAGCTCGCTGTTTACCTTCCCGGTACTTCTTGCGAAGCCGCCGGTGGACGCTCTTCACCACCCCGGAGAGCTTCTCTTGCTCCAGCTTCCGCTCCTGCTCCCGGGGCGGCGGAGTGCTCGGGGGCCCGGCCCTGTGCCTGCCAGCACTGCTTCGGTCGCCGGCCTCCGGCTCCATGTCGCTGCCGCCGCTGCCGCCGCCGCCCCTCGGGCCCCCGCAGACGCCCGCCTGACCGAGGAGGTGGGGAAGGAGGAGGCAGCAGCGGAGGCAGCAGCCGGAGGAGGCAGAGGAACCGAAGCGTCGGCCTCGGAGGTGGCCCCTTATCCAAACGCACAAGCTGATTGGTGGACTCTGGAGGGCTGGGCGGAAACGGAAAAAGCCAAGGGCCAATTGACGGAGAGCGCTGGCGGCGCACCCGGTTGTTTGGGACCGCAAGCAGCTGGAGGAGGCAGGGCTTGTGGGCTAAGGGAAGCCGAGGCAGTGGGAGCGCTGGGCCCAAAAGCCCCTCTCTGCTCCCCGCCCCTCGCTGGGCTCTGTGCGCAGGCGCTCTCAGCCACGCGCTTGCGCGTCTGAGTTGTAGTTCGGGCTACGTTCTGCTGCCCAGCCTTCTCACATCTTCCAGCTGTTCATCACAAGTGAATTGCGTTCTAGCGTGAAGCGGTTAGGGTCCTCTACCTGAACCCCTGCTGTACTTTGTCGCTTGTAGATTGTCTTTGGCTCTGGGAAGCGCTTTTGAGATGACTCGACCGCACAGGAATTTTACACTTCGAGGGACCCAAGCAGAGATGCTTTCATTGGCACGAGAAGTCTACCAAGTGGTGACTTAATTCACGGGCCGGCAGTAGTTAATGCCTCTAGTGCCAGAGCTGGGCGAAGGAAATAGAAAATGAGGAAAGGAGAGGCCCAAGAAAATCAATAGAAGATAATAGGGTAAAGGGAAAGAAAGATGGAGAACCCACAGCACATGCCCTCAAGAACTTATGTGGGGACCCCAGGTGTCACAGGAAGCCTGCCCTGATTTAATTTGCATCAGAACTGAGTGCTTTTAAAACCGGCTTGGGTGTTCTCCTGTCCTTTAAGTGGGTGGGTTAGTCTGTGGGGAGTGTGCCTAAGTGGGGTTGGCAACCTATACCTTCATAGGGAGTGTGGTTGCTGATCTCTGTCCCAGAAAGGTGAAATGCTGCTCTCCAGGGAGTGGTAGACTGTATTCGTTCTCGAGGTGGTACTGAGGCTGCTGCTCAACAGGCTGAGAGCTCTTATTGGATTGTGTTAGGCTGTAGGGTACCCCTGAACTGAAGTTGTTGGTTACATGATGTTTCTCATAAATTGTTGCAAAAACTTTTTGACCAGTGATTTTACGAATACAAATAAAGCTTGCGTTATGTAACTTTTATATGCCACCTCTGAATAACGAAGACCCTGAAGAGCAAAGCATTGTACACATTCTCCAGAACACAGGAAGAACAGGAAGGGGATAAATGAACCGAGAAGATTGGTGGAATATAAAGATGGAAGGTGTGTCCCTACCTGCACAGTGAAGAGGCAGATCAAATACAGATGAACTTCAAAATAACTAGTTATAATTATGAAATTACACACACATGCCGAATAACTTGAGGATATGGTGGTCTTATCTGAAGTGTTTTCATTTGGGAAGAAAGGGAAGCTTTAAATGACACACTGTTTTGGCTCTTTCCATAATTTAACATATATAGGAGGCAAAAAGAGGTGGAAATATTTAGAAGTTACAACCATAGTGAAGAGGGCATTAAATTTCATTTGTTCTGAATTGTCCTTAAGGAATAAAAAACTCTCCTCCCTGCAACTAGTAGCAAATGAATTTTAAGGTCCTTTTTAAAAGTAAATATGTACACTGAAGGATAATTGGAAAACACAGAAGGGAGTAAAGTAAAATTGCTAAGAGAAAAGATCATAAATGTTCTCTTCACAAAAAAGAAATGGTCACTATGTAATGGGATGGAAATGGTAATTGATTTGGTAGTGGTAATCATTTGCAATCTATAAACATGAAGTCAAGATCTTGTACACCTGATACTTACATAATATTATGTGTCAATTATATCTCAAAAAAGCTGGGGGGGGAGGGGAGAGTAAAAGTCACTTGGAAACACATCACTGAGAGAGAAAACAACTGTTAACATTTTTTTTCTTTGCTTGTGTATCTTTATTTCAAATGGGATATTTCTTGATAGATGTAAGGTAATTTAGTATATGAATAGCCTCTCACTTTAGTAACCAATTACCAGCTATAGTATATTTGTGTTGTTTTTCTGTGTTCCTAATAATGCTGTGATGAACACCCTGGTACACAAATGTTTGTCCATTTCTTTAATCGTACATTTCACTAGGCTAAATTTCTAAAAGTCAAATTTTTGAATCAAAGGGTCAAATATATTGAAGTTTTTAATGTATATTGTCAAATCGCCTTTGCTGAAAGATAGTAGCACTTTATTGTCACCTCCAACAGTATGTCTATTTCACTGCACCCTTACCGAATATAAGTATTACAATTTACAAAATCATTAATGAGATTTTTTAGAGGTCTTTGTTTTTAAGAAACATGTGGTACTTTTCTGCTGTTTTTTTTTGTTTGTTTGTTTTTTATTTTTACCTAGCTATTCTGGTTGGCATAATATTAACATTAAATATTAATATAAGAGCAAGTAAAAGGAACTTATTCAAGACTCTTCACTTGTCACTTTTTAAGCAAATTAAAGAGCTCCATATTTTAAGTTTGTTTTTGGTTTCATGCTTTTTTTTTAATGTTTATTTATTTTTGAAAGAGAGAGAGAGAGAGACAGAGTGTGAGTAGGGGAGGGGCAGAGAGAGAGGGGGACATAGAATCCAAAGCAGGCTCCAGGTTCTGGGTTGTCAAGCACAGAGCCCGACATGGGGCTTGAACCCATGAATCATGAGATCATGACCTGAGCAGAAGTCCAGTGCTTAACCAACGGGGCCACCCAGGCATCTCAGTTTGATGCTTTCTTGAGAAGCAACTCAAGAAATAGGAATTGGAAAGCTGGATTTTATTCTGAATTTTCATGAGTTCAAACAGGGCTAAGGCCAATATGACCAATACTGACTTTTCTTAAGAGGACTAACCACAGTATGTAAAAGGAAGCTTAAAACTTTCCTCTGGTGTGATTAGTAATATTGGAAAAAGTTTTCTATCTGTTAAGGTAGTAGAAGGATGGTAATGGGATTTTCCATGTAAATAAAATATCTGTCCTAATTGCTGGTAAAGGGATTCTTTGCAGGAAGTATGTTTGGTGCCATACTCAACAAACATATCCTATGTGCAGGAAAATATCAGTACCTCCTTTCCCATGTGATGACAGGATTTCACTTACTGTAAATACCTTATTTTTTTAATTCTTTCATTTTTTTAATGCTTTTTTATTTTTGAGAGAGAATGTGCACATGTGCGAGGGAAAAGGGGCAGAGAGAGGGAGAGAGAATCCCAAGCAGGCTCCACACTCAGTGCAAGGCTTGAGGCACTGACCTGAGCAGAAATCAAGAGTATGATGCTTAACCGACTGAACCACCCAGGCACCCCTCTCATGAATATTTTAAATGGCTGTTGGAAAAAGGGATGTTGGAATAAAACAGTATTCACTGAGCAGGACGAACCAGTCTGGGAGGGAGAGGCATTTCTAATGACTGCACTAAACCCCTAATAACTAAATTTCTCATCCTCATTCTTTGCTTTACCAGACCAACTTTTGTACTCTTCCCCATGCACATTTGGTGCATCATAGTAAGCTTCCTATGTCAAAGAACCACTCAGTATAGGAAAAATGTCTTTGGAAAGAAAAATACCTGTCTTGTTTGTTTGCAGTTATATTCTTTATAAGGGAAACAAATTCCTATAGGCAGTAAGAGTCAACATGTAAAAATACATTCTATTTTCAGTGAGAATTAAAAAAATATTAATTGGTAATGAAAAGTAAAATTTTAAAATACATATCAAAATCTGGGTGACGGCCCCAAGTTACTGAATAAAAGATTCTGGGTATATTTTACATAGTGTAGTTTTCATTATTTACTGAATATTCCTGTAGGTGGGAGAAGACTACACAGAAGAAATTGAGAGTCTTTAAATTATCTAAAGCATTGATCATTTATTTTTATTCTGTACCCTATTATTATTTACTCCTCTTTGACCTTCTTTATTACCAAATTAGGTTTTATTTTTCCAGTCTTCATTTTAACTGAATTTCTAAAAATTCTATTTCTAGGGGTGCCTGGGTGGTTCAGTGCATTGAGCATCTGACTCTTGATTTCAGCTCACATCATGATCCAAAGGTTGTGGGATGGAGCCCAATGTCCATCCATGCTCAGCCTGGAGGCTGTTTAAGATTCTCTGTCTCCCTCTGCCCCTTTCTCCCGCTTGTATTCCTTCTCTCTCTAAAATAAAAAAATATATAACTATAAATATAAATAAAAAATAAAAATTCTATTTCTAAATAGCCATGAGCCAAAGATTTGGCCAGCTTGGAGTGTATCTCTATCTTCCAAAAAGATACATCAAGTCTCTTTGCACTATTGATGTATACCATTGTACATTTATAAATGTTAGTTTAATATTAATACTTCTATTAATTAAAATAATAGTAGAACTAGCAAGCAAAGAAATATTTTCAGTGATAGATTTCATTCAGTATGGTGGATTACAACTTTAAAATTCCTTCAATTTATTTTAAATAGAATTACTTTCTTAAATAATTTGTTTATAGCTACTAGTCCAATGTCTCCCCTGCATTGTTAACATATCTGCCAACGTAAAAATCTTTAAAATAATACAGATTACCCTCTCTTTCTAAAGTCAATATGCAGAATCATGTTAAAACTAGTATTAACTACAGCAAGTGAAAAACATTAATTAATGCCTAACTCCAAAGGCAATGGTAAAATTTACAATATTTTTGTGATAGACTAATTAATTAAATTCATTTAATTTTCACAGCAGGACTAATGTAGGAAGATATCTACACAGAAAATGGGAAGTAGTTTTCCAGGTGATAGATGTTGTTCTTATAATGAAGCATAAGACTAAGAGATTTTCTACATCCTGATTTCAACTTTTCATTAAACATCAGAACATTAATCACTTGATTTCTCTAAACTTTATTTTTTCTTCTTCATATGTAAAATATGACGTTAGATTTGA